TATGGGTGTGAGTTCATCCCCTGGAGCACGGGACAGCCTACTGACATGTATGTATGGTGTGAGTTCATCCCCTGGAGCACGGGACAGCCTACTGACAGTCACACCACTGGAGTCATGATTAGTTTTATATTGAATATGGGAAAGAATCTTAAATGATCTGAAATCTGATGCATGAACTATATACCCTACTTGAGTTTAGTAGAAAACAAATAGTCATTTGCCACTCAACTTATAGAAGGGCTTGTTGATCTCGAAGTCACTTTCTCCTCCCAAGGGATTTAAACCAAGATGTAGGCAAGGGGTGGGGCTTGATCGTGACTTGTCAAGGGGAAGGACTGATCATGATTTGTCAAGGGGCGGGGCTTGATCATGACTTGTTAAACAACTGCTAACTTATGATACTCCTGTCAATGCATTTCTGTTTATTCTTCGAGAAGTGCGTACATGTATACAGTATATTTTGGTAATATCTGCCCCTTACTTTTCCCCTCCACCTCCTCTCAGACTACCATCCTGGCCTGCTCCCAACCTTGCATCCTCTGTTTTTAACCCTCTGAATTAGTGCTGCCCAGATGCACACGGGTGTAGGATGGGGCCACACACCAGAGCATGGATACCAGGAGCCACACCCCTGAAAACAAACAGGTCTCCCTCCACGAGCACCACCAATCACCAAGACCTCCTGAGCTAGAGCCGGAGCCTTGAGAGCCCATCCCTAGCCATAGAGGAATTTTGGGTGCCACGGTCTTGGGTAGGTTTGTGCAGGCAGCCACACTGGGAGCTCGGGAGTGCAATGGTCCAGTCATGTGAAGAAGACAGTGTTTTGCAGCCGTCTTCCTCAGCCTCTAGCTCTTGTAGGGTTTTCTGTCTCCTCCTCTATAATGTCCCCTGTGCCTTTGAGAAGTGTGACGTCGATGTCCCATGGAGGGGGCCTGTCAATCTACTACATGTGATTCCGGGCCTGTCAATCTGAATGTGATCATCATCCAGTCTCAACCTTCAAGCTGTAAAGAGGACCCAATCTAAGGACAGGCTGGGACACCAGAGAACCACAGGACATACTAAGACTGGTGGGCTTCATGAAGGTAAACTGTGTGTCACTTGTGCCAGCTCCCACCCCACAGAGAGGTAACTCTCCGGAGGATGGCAACAGGCGTAGGGGCAAGTCCACACCTCATGACGTTTCCCAGAAAGTCTCGGCCCAACCCTAACATTTCCGACATGGGAAACCAGACGAGACCCGGAGCCTGAGTGATGGCTGGCACCATGCATACGAATACTAGACTTTGCTGTGCTCACCACACAAACCTGGCAACCTGAGTTCAAGGCCCAGAATCCATGTAAAGATAGGAGAGAACCAGTTCCACCAAGCTGTCCTCTATGACCTCTACATACGTGCATTCACACACAGTAATAATAATAATAATAATAAATTGTCTCCTTTAAAGGGGCATCCATGGGCCCCAATTCCTCTTAAATTTTCCCTCATTGTCTGGGCTCAGGAGGCTCCTGCACTCTGGGGAGTTGGTTGGTTCTGGGCTTATGCCCATCCTTGGTTAAGTAGAAAGAGATCAGCTGGGAGAAAGAGAGGAACACATGCTGGGCGCACAGCACATCTGGGAAAGGCTACCTAGAAGGTGACCTTTGTACGTGAGTCCCACTAAATCACTACACGGAGCCCCAGGAAGCGGCCCCCAGGGGCTTGCAGGAGTCATTAGGGGACTCTGCTGCCCTGCCCAGCATCCTTGGAGCTTTCTGTATCTGCTCCCGTCCTCTCTGGACTTCTGGGAACACCCCTCTCCTTCTGGTGTCACTATGTTCTGACATCTGCATCTTTATACAAGAGCTAGAAGGCTGGAGAGACGGCTCAGAGGTCAAGAGCACTGATTGCTCTTCCAGAGGTGTCCTGAGTTCAATTTCTAGCACCCACAAGGTGGCTCACAACCATCTGTCATAAGACCTGGTGCCTTCTTCTGGCATGCAGACATACATGCAGGCAGAACACTGTGCACATAATAAACAAATAAATCTTTTTTAAAAAACAGTTATAAAAGAAATTTTGGAGAGAGAGAGAGAACTAGAATGCTCACACTGTCCGTCAGAGAGGACGGGAGGAAGCCAAAAGTGGACAGGCTGAGCGCTGAACTGCAAACCTCAGGAAGAGTCCTCATCTCCACCGTGGCTCTGATGTCTTCCATATGACTACAGCCCAGGCACAGAGTCAAAGCCATAAGATGTCACCTCCCTCGAGTCCAGCAACAGACGAGGAATCTGAGGCAGCAGGCCTGTGTCTACCCAGACTCCACAGACTCCACAGCTAAACCCCGAGGCAGTGGCTAGACCAGGCAAACTAGCCCGGCAGCCGCCCTTCTCTGGTCGTCCGCGTTACTCCTTTGCAAATGCATTCTTTCTCCACCCGCTTACCTGACTTTCGCTCACATCCTAGCCTGCCAGTACACCTCAAACAGAGACACCATCTGCAGCACGTGGGGGTCCCACGCACCCTGCTGTGAGGTAGGGGCAGCCACTGTCCCAGGACTCGGAAGCACAAGAGCTTTGTGGCCACGCAGCTGTCCTAAAGGCACCTCTGCGTCCCCGCCCCCTTGTCTCACACCCTTCCGACCCCATTGGTGATTTACTGTATGCTACGATTGGGATCAGCCTCATTTTGGAATGATGTAGTCCAGTCTTTGATGCTGTTTCCAGGAATCCTGGAAAAAAAGCAGAAAGTCGGGACTGCGCATGACTGACTCCAGAGAGGGCCCCGTGGGGGCCCTGCGAGCAGCGTTTTGAAGTAGCTGAAGTAAGATCAGGGCAAACTCAGCTCTAACAGAGCAGTTAAGCAGCCTGTGCTGGGAAACTATTTTAAAAAATGATTTGAAAAGTGACTTAGGAGTATTCCCTGCTTGGTTTCTGGCTAATGTAAACACTGAAAACAGATTAATCTGTGGGGAGGAGGGAGGAGTTTTATGTTCTAAATGTGGGCACCAACATTTCCAGGAAGGGACTTCGTGTCTGGGGGACAGAAGGGAAATGAGGGAGGGTGGAGGGGGGGGACCTGGGCAGGGGAAGTTCTGGGCATGTACTGGGCTCTGCTCCTAGGCAGCTGAGAGACTCAGCACCTGTGACTGCTGCCTCTGTTTCCCCATCCGAGCCAGGAGTTGCCTCTGAAGGAAAGCTTTGTGTGGCTGGCAGCCTTTGGCCGGGTCGTGCTTTCTCTGCCTATGCGTCCGTCTCTGGTGCGTGCCTTCCGGGTGTACTGGGGAAGGTACAGTAACCTAGAGTGTGTTCCTGCTTCATCCATTATACAGACGAGCCAAAAAAGAAAAATCTCTCTATCGTCACCACCCACTTCTGCAGGGCTTTCTAAATCCATCGAAAGTCGCACACAAACAGCCCTTCTGCCTGCTGCACCGTCCCAGCAAATGAGAACCCTTCTCAATGTTCTGCACTGCAGATATTTAAGGACGGGCGTTCAACGGCTGCGGCTGCGCAGTAACAGAAGCTTACGGAGCAGGCTGGCGATCGTGGGTCGGTGATTCCAAGAGGCGTCAGCTTTCTCATCGCTACTAAATTGCAATGTCATGCTTATCTTCAGGGACCAAATGCTTCCATCTCTCCATTAAATTCGCTGTGCTTCCCTGTCAGACGCCGGCACTGGCCCCGAACTTGCTTTTATTTTCCACTTAATCTGCAAAATGAATGTTTCGGTCATGCTGTGTGTGACCACTATGACATCGGTTAATTTGGCCCCGACTACAGATGGCCATGGTCCCTGCTCTACTGCCCCTGCTCCAAATGCATGGTGGTCCTGCTTGTGGTGGTCTTGGACACACACTTACAGAAACTAGGGCCTTGTCCCAAGAAAAATAGCCATGTTTCAAAAATGAGTCTCTACGTCTAAGCTGTTTTATCATGGTGAAGTGAGCTTTGGGGGGTCTCCAGTTCTGAATACAAATCCTGGCCTACCACCCTCACTGTTTGCAATCACCATAGGAAAAATACAATCAAACCATTATAAAATACCAGCTTCAGAAGATATCATTTGCCCCCAGAGAACTTGGTATCCCAGAGACTTTTCCAACTCAAGTTTTATTATACATGGGTCACTCAAGAAAATGACAGCTGGGCTTCTCTGCCTTCTAATTTCTGCTTCAGTTAACTAGCTTTTTCATCCAGAATAAGACGCAAAATTAGAGGAGGGTGATTTTTACGTCAGGGTCACCCACTGTTCACTGTTGAGCCTGATAGATCCCCAGCTTAGACCTGGATTAGTGAGGGAGAAGGGAAGGAGGAAAAGGCAGTGTTAAGATCCACGTACAGCCTGAACAGAAGCCTAGCTCATAGCGCAGGGCTGAGTTGCACCCAGGTGAAGATACGGCAAATTCTGCCAACCTCAGAATCGCTCATCCCCATATGGAGTCAGAGATTTCTGCCTAGAGCCCCTTGCAGAAGCATGCAGGGACAGAACAGAGCTCCAGCCAGGCCTCCTTCCTCTCTGCTACCCTTACTTCCCAGCTTATCCACAAAGGATCCTCAGGAGGCAGGTAGGAGCCATTCCTAGGAAGGAGGCCAGCAATTCTTCCACAGTCTCTGTCCCCCAGGAAGTAGGTCCCACACCACCAACCCTATAATTCCAATCTGCAGGTCTCAGTACAGGGTCATTGTGGACCCAGGTGCCTGGGGATTGGTCAGACATGGGCCTGGGTTCTGAATGGACTGGTCTCAGGCCTTCAGCTCATCTTATTGGGTTGTTCCAGTCTCTTCCAACAGGGAGAAGAAAACAAGAACAAAAGCCTTCCTACATCCCCAAAGCAGAGAGATGGGGACCAGGGGGACATGTAATACTTAGCTCTCCTTCCAAGCCAGCTCTGAGTACAGCATCCCAGCCCAAGACCAGCCAGGCCTGGTCTACTCTACAGGCCGCTGTCTGTAGAGCACATTGAGATGGAACAAGATTCTTGGGTCCAAAGTTGCCCCTGACACATTTTCCCCTACAGAGGGCAAAGAAGAAAAGGGGCTGTATTTGGTTAAGGAGATGGGGCCAGACACTCGCAGGGTGGAGGGCCAAAGACAAGGTTGGGATGCCAAGGTAAGTTCCTCATATTCACGAGGAGTCTGAAGACAGTGGGACAGAAAGATGTCTTGCAGATCTCATGGACCCTTGCATGACGGGACCACAACAGTCAGACGAGGTGCTAATGGCTGAGAGCATGCACCCTTTAATAGGGTGTGGACAGGGGAAGAGTGGCAGCTGGAGACAGCGTGGGTGCTCCATCCAGGAGCGGCACAGCCATGCTGCTCTGCATCCAGCCACCAGCCTCTGCAGCCACCGATGTAACATGGCCCCACCACAACTGACCCGTCCTTAGGGAGTACTCCCCACAGGCCATGGGAGCCCCAAGAGAGAAACTGAGGCAGTGAGGTCATGGTATGGTCCACTGCTGTGTTCCTGGGATCAGGGGACCTGCGTGAGTGAGAGAGAGACCCGTCGCTGTGCTGGACACTGGAGTCGGTCTTACTTCTCTGGTGACGTGAGCCACAGTCCCAGCTCAGGAACGCTGAGGGGAAGTGCTGCTCCACCAAGGGATCAGGGCTGATGGAGAACTACTTAGCTTCTGCTGATAGCTAGGGAAGTCCCCTGAGCAAAACAGGGTTCTCAGAGCCAATATAACCTGAATCTAAGACCATATGTGCAAGTAAGACTTTCCACTTGGTAAATACTCTCTGCATCATTCCTTGGCCATGCCCTCTCTCCAACGTCAACGTCACTCACACACACACACACACACACACACACACACGCACACGCACACACATACACGTACACACACACATACACACACACATACACGCACACACATACACACACACTACATATATACTCACACACATTACACATACATATACTACATATATAAACACACTACATATATACACACACTCACTCACACACACCCAAACACACACTTCACAAGGAGCACAAAACTTCTGGGCAGGAACCAGGCATGTGTCTTCTAGAAGATCTCATAGACTCCAATACAGAAGAATGGTAGAACCCCAACAATTCAATGTTGTAGCACAAATAATAAAAACCCAGAGACAGAAATTGGAGTTCAACCCAAAACCCAGAAAAACAAAGCAGCCAAGCAGCTACAGAAGTCTTACCTCTACCAAGACTGGGCAAACTTAAAAAAAAAAAGAAAGAAAGAAAGAAAGAAAGAAAGAAAGAAAGAAAGAAAGAAAGAAAGACAGCCTCTCTCTTCTCTCATTTTATATTTCCTCTAGTGCTAGGATTAAAGGTGTGAGCTGCCACCACCTGGATATGTTTCTGCTTTGATCTTGTGTTCCCAGGGTGGCCTTGAACTCACAGAGATCCATCTGTCTCTGTCTCCCAAATTCTGGAATTAAAGGTGTGTGCTACCATTGTCTGACCTTTAGTGGCTTTAGCTTTGCCTCTGGTCTTGAGGCAAGATTTATTTATGAAAATACAAATAATATACCACTACATAATGCAGTGCTAATGGCCACGGGACCTCCGATAGAGAAGACCTGTAGAACCCCAACAGCCGGAGGATGTGCTAACAGCCAGTGGGGCAGCTTCACGAGGAAAGGGACAGTTACAATTTCTAAGTTGTTGATTTTTTTATTTTTTTAAAACATTTATTTTGTGCATGTGTACATGTACACGTGTGTGTGTGTGTGTGTGTGTATGCATGTGAGCTCAGCTGTCTATGGAAGCCAGAAAAAGGGCATCAGATCTCCTGGAGCTGGAGTTACAGGTGCTTCTACATCATCCTCAGTGTACCCACTGAGGGACCAAACTCCAGTCCTCTGCAAGTGCGGCAAGCGTTCTTAACCACTGAGCCATCTCTTTAGCCCCATAATTTATTCATTCTTTTGTCCCCAAATCTGACTCAGATGCTAAGTGTGGATGCTTACTAAATTACAGACTTTCGACACATATATATGTATGTCTCAGAAAATACATATCTCACCTGATTCCTGAGGCACTTCAAAATAAGAGAGAGTCACGTGCTGTGGACTCCATTGTGTTCTCCACATCCGCGTTGCTGTCAAGGATTACCAAGTGTCAAGTACTATCTAGTGGCTACCGTTAAGTATTTATTGGGCTCTGTATGTCAAAGATAAAAGTCCTATTGAAGTAACCTAGTTAGGGAACAAAACTCGTGTACAAAAATGTACCAAGTCAACAGATTTACTAAAATCCAGGGATGACGGCCTAGTTGAGGAGACACAACTTCCATCAAATCTGTGTTGATAACAGTAATGGGTCAAAGGAAAGCTAGTCAGCGGGAAGGCAACTTGCAGGCTATGTGATGGCCGCCAGCAGTCTGTATAGTTTACAGACGAGTTAGGGCAACAGACCGAAAAATGGTCAGGATGCTCGGGTGCCAGCTAGAACTTCCTCAGCCAGGGACAGCAAGGTCCTTCAGGGAGGAAACGGCCAGAAAGGAAGCGTGGGGGCTGCTGCCCACTTCCCAGAAGCCGTGACAAGACACAGCAGGTCTTCTGTGGTGCACACCACAGAAACACAGGAAACACGACACTCTCCCTTCACATTTAATTTACAGTCCGTCCCTGTGCTGAGGTTCAGGCCAGTGACTCAAGCTTTTGCAAGGCACCCAGCAAGTGAGTCACTTAGGGGTGCTTACTGCCTAAGCCTCAGTTTCTTGGCTCCTCCCTGCCCAGACCCACCTGGCCTCAGTAGAGAGCTCCGGAAATGCCCAGAGGGAGTGGCCAGCAGACATTCCACATTTGGCTTCATGCCACAAATCTTGGCAGAGTCTTTCTGCATTACCTAGTAGATGTAGATGGGTACACCCAGTCCTTCCCCACAGTCCTTGACTAATGCAGTCTCTAGGGATGTGGGAGACAAGTCAATGGGTTCTCCTCTTCCTGTCGGAGGAACTGGCACTTTTGCAAAATCCAAACTCCTTCTGAGAGCCTGGGCCAGAAAGATCAGGGGCTCCCCAGCCAGTAGAATGGTGGGATTATATTTGGAAGACTGTCAGCCGCCGTGTGAGGGCCACCTCCATAACTGTGACCATGGGTCACAGCTCGCAGTCAATTAAATGCTTAATTTTCTTTTAGCTTTTTTTTTTCTAACATCTATCCCAGGAAAATACTGTCAGGTGAAAAGTGGCATCTCTTCTCCCTCAGAAGCAAGACTAGAAACAAGTGAACGAGTGCCAAAGGCCCAACACTATCCAGCTAAATGTTCCAAACCCCAGTCTGCACAGACCGCAATGGTCCCACAAGGAGCAAGAAAACCTCTGTGCAAACAAATGCATTTAATCAGATCTAGGTAAGAACCTGACATACTTTGCAGGACCAGAATATGTAGGCATACCCACTGATGGAGTAAGTCCATGAACTTTGTGCATTGTGGTCAGTGTATCAGAAGAGGTTGTTTAAGAGTGGGGACTCAGTTCGCAACACTGGGGATAGCATCAGGCAGGTCAGAAGGCAGAAGAGATGAGGGCAGTCGGGCAGGTGCCTTCAGGTCGTTTCCATGAGAAGGAGCTGATGGCTTTACTGGTTTAGGATTGTGTCAGGAGATTCTGAATAACACTGCCTTCCCCAGGCCATTTGACACTTGGCCCTGGGGTGACCAGAGCAGGTGTGTAGTGGCCCAGACCATGAGAACTCATAATGGAGGAGGTTGTAGAGACGTGGGTTCTGGAATGGACAGTCTGCATCTGTGGACATCTGCAATCCTGTGGATAAGTTCAACGCTGCCTCTAGCAATAGGATCAGCAAAAGTCTACATGTGAAAGAATCAGAACACGGAAAGCAAAAGCATTGCCTTAGTCTGATGATGGAGTGTCAGGCTCTGGTGGTTTGGACGAGCTGTCCCTCACAGTCTCGGTCCCCACTGGAGGGCTGTTTGCGGGGGTTGAAGAGGCACGGTCTTGCTGAAGGAAGTGTGTCCCTACAGGCAGACTCTGAGAGTTAAAGGCCAGTGTCATATCTAGTTCACAGCCTCAGCTGTGTTCTTTCAGTGTGGAGCCCTCAGCTTCTGCTCCGGCTGACATGCCTGCTGCTTCCCACCATGATAGACTCTCATCGCTCGGGAGCCGTAAACCAAATAAACTCTTTCTTAGTTAGTTACCGCAGTCCTGCTGCCTTTTCACAGCAGCAGAGACATAACCAATACACAAGCTTATTCTGAAACACCACTCCCCTGTCCTGTACACAAGCACAGGCACACACACACATACCATAGACACACACACACATACACGTGTACACATTCACACAGACATACACATACCACACATACACACATGTATACATTCGCACACGCCCCTCAATCACATCTTTAGAAAGACCAGAGTCTTTATGAGCTCAAAGAGAGAGGAGCTAAAACCCTGAGCTCAAATCAGCACCTTCAAGCTCGAATAAGCATAATGACAGCCGCCTGCGCTTCCTAACTACATCCTGAAGACGCTAAACGAGCTGTGTGTGCGGGACACTTGTGCATTGCACCACCTACTTCACAATCCCTATCAGGGAGAGATGGGAAGGTGCCACCCTTCTCTTTAATCTGATCTATGCAGTCTGCGCACCACTGCAGACATGCTACTATGCCCACTGCTGCAGATATGCTACTGTGCCCACCGCTGCAGACATGCTACTGTGCCCACCGCTGCAG